AGCATTACAAAAATACATTTATCTTTGTTTTGTGAAATAATGAAACACCCAAAAATGTAGAGAACTTCCTGTCTTTAAAACTTTGAACTCAGGGACCAGCAGTTAGCGTAATAGCTATGTCACTGGACTCTCACGTAGTTGACCGTGGTTTGAGTCCCAGACCTGGTGGCTTAAAACTCACACTGGGAGCGTGTGTGTGCGTGCCCAAGATCCCGAGAGGAGAATGGAGGAGAAGGGATTGTGGTGTGGCCATCCCCCCTGGGGGGCAGTGATTTCTCACTTTCTGTCTCTCTGTCTCTCTCTGTCTGGCTGGTGAGCGCATGTGCCCTATGGCAAAAACCTCTCCAAAAACAAAACAAAACAAAACAAAACAAAACTTTGAACTCAAAGATAAATGATTTTTCCTAATGAGAACACAGACATCTATATGAAGGAAGCATATATCTCTGATAAGCTTTGAGTTCAAAGTTTTAAAGACAGAAAGTTCTCTACATTTTTGAGTGTTTCATTATATCACAAAAGCTGTCAATATTATGCCTCCAAGCAGACTCAAAATCAGTTACTCATGGTGAACAGACAGGTGTTTCTGAAACTTCCTGATGAGTTCTGTGATAAATCACATCTGAGAAGCAAAGTATGACATTTACCCAGTGGTTGTTCCTGGTTTGCTCACTATGTTAACATATTCATAGGAAATTTCTGGACCCATCTCATAGTCATCAATGAAGAGTTCCTCAGATAATGCATGTTCAGTCACATTGCACCAGAATTCCATCCTCCTGCTTCTTCCCTGAGAGACAAAAATCCAAGGATTACTAGCATTTCTTTGATATACAATGGTTCATTCTTTCATTCGCTAATAACTAAATATTTATTGAGCTTAAAACCCATATTATTTCACTGGAGGCATCCCATAAGCTCTAAAGTGGGAATAAATGGGAGTAAAGGGAAATGACTATGAGTAACTTCAAATTTTAAATCTGAGATAAAATTATTTCACTTGGCTCAAGTTTCAAAAGCTGGGTGATTGGGAACCAGCAGTTAGCGTAATGGCTATGTCGCTGGACTCCCACGTAGTCGACCGCGGTTCGCGTCTCGGACCCGGTGGCTTAAATCTCACGCCGGGCGCGTGTGCGTGCATGCCCAAGATCCCGAGAGGAGAATGGAGGAGAAGGGATTGCGGCGTGACCATCCCCCCTGGGGGTGATTTCTCGCTTTCTGTCTCTCTGTCTCTGTCTGTCTGGCGAGCGCACGCGCCCTACAGTGAAAATCTCTCCAAAAAAAAAAAAAAAAAAAGTAGCTCAGTGGTTCAGTGATTGCCTAGGAAGGCACAGGGAGAAGTGGGAGGAAGTGATCACAAAAGGGCATTAAGAAGTTTCTGGGGGTCAAGGGGTCATGGATACATTTACTATTTTGATTGTGGTTATGGTTTCATGTGTGTATACATGTCAAAACTTAACAAATTGCAAACTTATAATATGCAGCTTAATGCATATCTCAGTAAAGCTATTAAATAAAAGACGTGATAGATTTCATAATACTAAATTGGCAAAATTATTAAGAGAGAAAAGATGGATTGCATAATACATTCCTATTTTTTCAATAGAAGACTTTTGTGCATATTATATACTAAGAGATATACAATGAAAAATGACACTATACACCAATTAACGTAGGAAAAGCATTAAGTGATTTTAAAATGTTGTAGTTTATTAACGTGGAAAGAAGTTACAATATACAGTTAGTTGGGAGAGATAGCAAGGTACAAATAGTGTTTACACAATACAATCTTGTTTAACTGTCTGAAAATCTCGGAGCATATAACCCAATATTTTCACACAGAAATACAGTCTATTCAGTTCAAACCAGGGTTTGTAATTCCTACTGTGATTCTTAAGAGAACTCAGCCATAGACCTAAAGTCCTGGGAATGCTTTCTGGACCATAGACTTTCAGGAATCACTATCTTGAACATTGAGATGGCAGCCTCTCTTTCTCTTTTTTTTTTTTAAATTTTATTTATTTTTTTTTGGAGAGATTTTCACTGTAGGGCGCGTGCACTCGCCAGACAGACAGAGAGAGACATAGAGACAGAAAGGGAGAAATCACCCCCCAGGGGGGATGGTCACGCCGCAATCCCTTCTCCTCCATTCTCCTCTCGGGATCTTGGGCACGCACGCACACGCGCCCTGCATGAGTTTTAAGCCACCAGGTCCGGAACACGAACCGTGGTCGACTATGTGGTAGTCCAGCGACATAGCCATTATGCTAACTGCTGGTTCCCTCTTTCTCTTTTTTAAAGATTTTCACCTAGAGTGAATGTGCTCAAGAGAGAGAGAGACAGAGAGAGAGAGAAAGTGAAAAATACTCCTGGGGAAAGGGGATGGCCATGTTGCAATATCTTCCGGTCTATTCTCCTTTTGGGATTTTGGGCAGGCATGCACATGCACCTGGAGTGATTTTCAAGTCACTGGGTCTCAAACCACAGTCAACCAAGTTGGAGTCCAGTGCCTTAACCACCACACCACCTGCTGGCCCCTTAGTAGCCTTTTAGCTTTCCCGTTTTTTGTTGTTGAAACTGCAATTCTGGGTCTAAATTTCCCAAGTTTACTATTCTGTTACAGTTTTAGCTGGTACAAATGCAGAAACTGGGTCTTTCTACTAGTAAGAAAAAAGGAACTACCTTTATTTTTTTATATAACTGAAGGTGTGTGTGTGTCCATGTGTGAGAAGGGAAATGAGGAGAGGAGAGGAAAGGAGAGGAGAGGAGAGGAGAGGAGAGGAGAGGAGACGAGAGGAGAGGAAAGGAGAGGAAAGGAAAAGGAACCAGAAATGAATCCTTGAAGAAAAATTAAGATAATTACTCAGTGAGGCCATTAGGTGGTGTGGTGGTTAAGGATGCTGGACTCCCACACTGGGATTTGAACTACAGTCAGCCATGTGGGATCCGGCTTCTGATAGACAGTGCTTAACCACTGCACTCTGGGGCTAGCCCTGCAACTATTTTTGTAAATGGAGGATATGAAACAATGTAAAAAATGATTCCAGCTCTCTGGGGGGGGAAAGGTACATATGACAGAAAAAGATTGAAGGATACATAGGAAGTATCATTTGCTAATGATTCCAAATTTACTTTATTCATTCAACAATTTTGAATACATAGTTTCCCAGAACAATGCCAGTTAAGTGTCAATATGAAACAATGTAAAAAATGATTCCAGCTCTCTGGGGGGGGAAAGGTACATATGACAGAAAAAGATTGAAGGATACATAGGAAGTATCATTTGCTAATGATTCCAAATTTACTTTATTCATTCAACAATTTTGAATACATAGTTTCCCAGAACAATGCCAGTTAAGTGTCATACATTCATTTCAGACTTTTCTCCTGACCTCCATTCAGGTATAGCCAAATGCTTAATGGACATGTGTATATGAAGGAAGTTAAGAACTACAACACCTGACAGTGACATCATCCACTGCAAAATTAAGCAATTACCAAACAATCTGTGAGTTTTGAAGTTCAAGTCCACCAACTA